AAAGTAAGAGAAACTTTAAGTAAAATTTTTGGAACTTAAAAAAGGAGGACTATATAAGGGAAAGCAACCCCATCTCTAACACGTCATGATTAGTAAGAAATGATTTAACATTAAGACTGTTTTGAAGCCTACCTAATTTACTGTCCAAAACCACTTGCACAAAAGGTTGGAATATGAGAAGCTGACTGATGAGTGGATCCAGTGTAACCAGGAAAGCACCTGCTATTTCCTCCTGTTGTGCTTTTGAAATCCTGGCAGCATAGAGGCTTGGTGGAAACTTACTAGAAAGGAAGGGAAAAAAATTCATTCATTAATAGCTATTTTCTAATTTCAGACAGAGGTTAAGTACTGCAAACTGATGTTCTTCCAGCAGTGAAAACATAAAACAATAAGTAGCATACATTTTAATAAAACAAAATTCAAAGTACTGAATTGATACCATAATTGAAGAATCTCTGAACTCCATGGCTATAATTTACAAAATTAAAAGTTTATAATCTTAGAAAACAATGTTAGTATTATTTTGATGCATTTTAATGTTTTTGATGAGATTCTTAAAAAATACGGTAAAGATGAATATTAAACTAGTAAAAACATATGTGAAAAGATATTTCTGATAAATTCTGGGGTAATTACTTCTTTTGAAAGTTGTTGTAAAATAAGAATGCTGAATTTACTATGAATTAATACTCAGTTTCTCAGAAGAGCTTTGTAAGAACAAACTGTATATTAACACTGAAGGAAGATGCAAAGATCTTAATGGAAAATGTCTCAGTAACTGGGGTTTAAACTCAACTTCAATCAAAACCTCTGTAAAATAGGATATGTATTCAATATTTTTTGCCATGTTATTTTTAATTGTGGCAAATTTGACAGTACATGAGAAAACCTGTCTAGCGGGGAATGACAGCATTTAAAAGGATGCACTTAAGATAAACAGTTGAGGCCTCTGCAGTGTGATGGAAAAAGCACCAGTCTGTCAATTATTAGCCATGTGACTTTGGTTCATTCATTTGACCTCCCTAAGTCTCACTTTCTTCACCTGCAACACTGAATCAGAGTTGTGAGGATTAAATTGTAAGTGAGATTATAAAGTGAAAGATGCATATAAATACAATGCAGGTAATGAAACCCCACTGATTTTGAAGTACAGCTACTGAGCATCAAAGCAAGTATGTGTCTTTCACACAAATGACACACTTTAAAGTTAATTTACTTGACAAATGTTTATTAAGTGCCTATGTACGCCATGTACCTTTCCAGGAGTATGTGACATAGCAGTAAACGGAATATATACAATCACTGCCTTTAAAGGCACACATTCTAATGCAGGGGGGAGTTAACAAGTGAGTGTGTGAGTGAGTGAGTAAATCAACAATACAGCAGATGTTAGTAAGTACTACGGAGGAAAAATAAAACAAGCCAAGGTGGACAGGAAACTACTGACTTTCTATTTGAAATTCTATGGAACTCTGAATGTGAGGTATTTGAGAGTTTGTGCAGAGAAGTCACATGATCTATTTTATGTTTTATCACTCACTCTGGCTACTGCACAGAGAACAGATCAGAGCAAGGCAAGGGTGGAAGCAGAGACAGCAGGTAAGATGTTCTTTTGCAAAAATGCAGGCAAGCAAATAGTGGATGGGACTGAATGACAGCCATTCAGGGGGTGAGAAGTGGTTGGGGTCTGCACATATTTACTGCATATACGTATTTATACTGAAGGCAATACTGACAGACTGACGGAATTTGCTGATGAACTAGATGAGGGGTATGAGAGCAAGAGAAACATCAAAGTTGACACGTCAAAGTTGACAGCAAGGTTTTTTGGCCGAATCAATCTGAATAATCAAGATGCCACTTAAACTGAAATAAGGAAGCTACAAGAGGAGGATGGGGGGGTGTGTGTGGGGGGGGTGTCGGGGGGGCAGGAATGAAATGATTGTGAATGAACAGTTTGGCTGGGTCAATTTAAGTGCAGATGTCCTGTCTGACAGTTAGACATTAAACAGGAGAGATATAAATTTAAAGTCTTGAGACTAAATGACCACTGGGAAGAGAGGAGAGGCCGTAGGACTGAGCACTGCAGCACACCCAGCTTAAAGTAGCTGGAGAGAAGAGGAGGAACCTGCGAGGAGGCTAAGAAGGAGCAGCCCAGAGATTCAAAAAGAACCAAGAGGGAGAGGTGTCCAGGAAACCAACAGAAGAGTCCAAACGAAAAGATTAAGCGCTGCTGACAGGCTACATAGATGAAGCCTAAAGCTGGCCCATCAGATGTAGTGACAGGGAGGTCACTGATGACCTTGACAACAGCTGTTTTGGTGAAGTGCTGAAATGGAAATCCTGACTGGAGTAGCTTCGAAAAAGAAAGTAGAGACAACTCTTTCTAGGAGTCTCGTCTTGTTGCAAACAGGTGCAGAGAAATGGGAAGGCATTGGAGAAGAATTAAGGTCCAGAGATTTTGTTTTATATTGTTCTTAAGGTGAGAAAAGTAACAGCATGTTGATAGACTCATGAGAAAGGCGCAGAAGGGAGGGACGATTGATGATAAAAGAGGGAAAAGGAACAATTGCTCGAGTGACTTCCCTGAGCATGAGAGAGAGGATGAGATCCAATGCAGAAACAGAGGCTGGCCTCGGACAGGCACACAGACAGTTCACTTGCAGGAATAAGAAAGTGACAGGGCCTAGACACAGGGGAATAGCTGCTGTGTCAGGAGAGTGTGGACGCTCCCTTTCGATTGCTTCCATTTTCCTCAGTGACATACAAAGTGAGGACATTAACTGACAATGAGAAATGAGGAAGTGGTGTTGGAGACATAGGATGTTGAAGAAGGGGAGGTCTGAAAATTGTGTAGGAGACTAAATGGATTAAGGAAATGTAAGAGAGCTGCTGGATGAATGAACTGACAAATTCCTTTAGTGTCAAACTGAGGGCTCTTCTGTGATAACTGTCAATGTTAGATATCATTTAGCCCCTACCTAAATTATGATACCCTTTCTGTAATTTCACTTTTTTTCTGAGATGGAGTTCACTGCTACTTGACTTAAATCTCATAGAAGTAAAATTAAAATTAAGAAAGATTAAAAAAAAAACAGTATGCCAATACAGAATACAACCTCTTTTTTTTTACCTTCAGTATTTATCATCCTTCCAATCATTCATCACTTGGTTTATAAGGTACTAGTTAAGAATATAAAGATAAGTAAAACTCACATGGAATCTATTATTTAAAGCCTCCATCCCCACTAATTTTAAGCAGATAAAAATTTACTGAAATATTAACAGAAATTATTTATTTTACTTTAAAATTATACCCACTTAACATTTGCATGGTTCAGATGGCACTATTACATTTTAATGGTCATGCAGCATTCTTCTTACCTGTGTATCTGAAGATAAAGCTGGTGTAACGTACAGCAAGAATCAGAGAGGAAAGGAAGAAATTCCTAAAATAAAGCAACCCTATTCATTCTTTGTACACAACATGCTTTTCTAATACATATTCTCTCACCAGAAACAAGCAAAATAAAATTAAATCCTAAATGTGCCACATAGGGGAAAAAAAAAGTTTCTTGCATGAGAATAAAAAGGAGGATGAGGCTAAGCACCTAAAATTCTTTACTATTAAAACTATCAACACAAACACAATGAGAAGTTATCATTTACTGAGTACCTACTAGGTGCTCAGCAGACATGTAGCAAGTGACTTTACACATATTACTTTATGTAATTTTAGTTCTCTCAAAGATCTTACGACATGTTACTGTCCCCAATTCTTAGACTAGAAAGCTGAAGCTAAAGTATCAAGTAACTTGACTGAGTCACATCGCTAAGACCAGCAGGGCTGGGATCCAAGGACAGTCATGACTGCTCTACCCACTATGGTTAGACTATCTCTTAGAATATAAAAGAAATAGTTTTAATTGTACTACAAGATATAGAGAAAAAGCTTATGATTAATTTTTTAAAATTTAAGTTCCCCTGAGAGAGAAGAATTTATTTAAAAATGATATAATTAGGCACAATTTTGACCCCTACACACCAAGCAAATATCAGATGGGTAACTACCCATCTGAGGGCCACTGGTGCCAGGACCCTCCCACCATGTACCTCTGCCACTGAAATACACACCCTGTGAGCAGGGAACCCAGTGTCAGAGCAGCCCACCCACGGTTAAGCAGCCCAGAAGCACCAGCTCAAGCAGCACACCAACCAGGATGGCAGTGCGCCAGTAGTCAGTGTGCCTGCCATGGAATTCTGACTGACAGTCATCAGAGGTCCTTACCTTTTCCTCAAAAAGGAGGAAGACAAGGTCAAAAACAAATCCAACATGGATGATAGTGTTTTCAATTACTAATATTTACTACTAACAATATGTCTTTCACTGGCTGCTGAGTACTCTCTGCTCTTGTATCTAAATAGTCTACCTTGACAAATTATCTATTCTATTCGTATATCTTCAAATACCACTTTGCCACCCTGATGACTCCCAAATATGCAAGTCTTAAAGTTATTATACAGTTTGAACATTTAAACTTAACCTAATTTAGAAATATGGTAGAAATAATCTATAAACAGTATCTAAAGTCAAACTGAATTATCTTCTGAAAATTGATTTGTGCTTATAGAAATAATTTTATTTATACTTGAAGAAATAATTTTTTCAGGGAATTGAATAAAACTAATGACAATGATAGCAGCAACTTGGATGACAAAACAGATGCTCAATATTTAACAATTAACAATATTAAGCTAAAAACTCTACAAAATAAAGTCTTGACAAAATAACTTCAAAAGATTGTTTGGCAGAAATCATAAAAACAAGCTAATTTATAATGTATTGTAGATATCACATTCATGCATTATAAAATATTAGCTTTACCTTAGTATAGTGCAAAAGGGAGTTGGCAAAGAAACGACACAATTTGAGTGTTTTCTGAAATAATCTGTAGTCAGCATTATCCTGCTCCAAAAACAAGGAAATAAAAATGCATAATAAATAGGAAAAGAATATGAAATTAGCTAAACTTATGAGACAATATTTTCTAAAAAGTTCTCGCAATAAACAGTGCAAACATTTTCCAAGAAAATGTAATTCTTTGAATTGTTAGAAGCAACAGACACACACACCAAATGACAGATATTCCAAAAAATTAAACTCTATGTTACTGAAATCTTAATCTATAACAAAAGAAGTGATCATTCTTGATTGATCTGAAAGTGAAAGAAATTTAAATACCTTATTGTTCTTTGCTATATGGGGATCAATAGATGATCAAAAGGAAAAGGTCTTACAAGCCAATAAAAGAATAAGATATGAAAGAAAACAGGTGAAATACATAAGACAGTTCACAAAAGAGAAAATACAAATTGCCAATAAACTAATACTGGAAAAATCCAAATTACAATCTAATTATATATCTTTTAAAGGGGGAAGGGAGAGGACTATTTGATTAGCAAAGATTTAGAAGACGGATAATATCCCAGAGTTGAGGAAGTGGAGTAATAAGCACTTTATTTTACCATTTGTAGAAGAATAAACTAATACACTCTTTGCATTATTATTAAAAACTAATGTGTTAAAAAACTCCCTGACCCAGCAGCAATCCCACTTCTGGAAATACATCATACAGAAATACCAGCATAGGTATTCAATGCAACCTTTTTCCTATAATAAAAATCGAAATGAACCCAGTATCCATCATCTGGAGATGGTTACATAAGTTCAAGGTATATTCATAAATTACAATAGCACAGAGCAATTACAAAGAATGAGGTAAGTATACCTTCAGGGGTACAGAAAGCCCTGAAATAGATTATTAATTTAAAAAAAAATCAAGCTGCAAAACAATATGTATACTTCTATTATTATTTTTAACTGTGTTATGTGTTAGTATTTCCTCCCTAATCCCACAAAAATAAATCAAAACTTCACCTGTGGTTCTCTCTGGCAGATGAAAATAGAATTTCACTGTTCATGTTAGACATTTGTGTAATGTGTGAGAGTTTTCTGAGTATGGGCTACATTTGCAAACTGATCAAACAGTGGGCAATGCCAAGATATCTATGTGTATGTAGGGGGACTATCGAGGACTGTGGAGTCATCCTGCCTGGACTGAAATCCTGGCCTTATCACAACCTCTGCATGATCTTGGGGAGGTTACTAAACCTCTCTATGAGGTTGCAATGTAGCTTATATCAAGGTTACTGTAAAGTTTAAACAGTGTCTGACACTTAAGCAACTTACCTTAATAAATATAGTTGTTATATGTCACCCAAATGTGTAGTACACACTTACAATCCAAAGAGCTTTAAATCAGTACCCTAAAGTTAAGTCTAACAGATACATTATCATCTTTAATTTATAGGATAATTTCATATGAAATAACATATCTTAACTTTGTTAATTGTCTATGTTTAATTTCTTTTCAACAGTATAGCAAAACCTTAACTAAACCAATCAAAATGGAACTGAATGATGGAACTAATTGAATATAACCCTTCATTTTGATCTTTAATAAAAATATTTAGAAATAGTCAATTTTCCTCAGCAGAAATAGGTTAAATGAAAATTCACCTCTTTGATAACTATAAATATGAACTCTTTTATGAGTACTATGGAAGTTTCAAAGTACAAAGATTAAAAGTGAATCTACACTGACTTTATAATATACTCAATCCTAAATTTCATTCAGCTTAGCTGTCATATCGGAAGAAATCTTTCCTGACTTCATGACTGAGTTCCAACTTTACTCCCATGAGCCAACCCACAATTCTCTAAAGATCACACCATTCTGTTACTTGCTTATTTGTCTCCTGCCCTAAACTATACATTGTTGATGGTAGGAAAATGTGAGTAACTTAGCACCCAGTACATTTTCTGGCCCAGAGTAAGTACTCTGGAAATACTTGTTAAATGAATAAATGGTAATATACAACTTATGTTTGCATACCTTAAATTTTCCTTTCCCAATCAAGAGGAATTATACAAGAATTCACTACTAAATAGCATACAAATTAAATCTAGAGCTCTGACTTTCACATTTTCAAAAAGCAAGTGTACAGCACCAATACTGTCACATCTTAATTCAACTGTTTAGACCAGAAAGTCTGCATCTCGATGCCAGCAAAAAGGGGTAGGGATACAAGCAAGGATGACCACCTTTAATGTGTCAAAATATTGAGTATCCACTCTTCCTTCCTTTAAATAAAACAAGCAAAATAGTGATAAAATCTAAATAAACGGGGAATAAACGTAAGTGCAGGCAACAGAGACAATAATACGAGTTTATTTTCTGAATATAACCTTCTGTAAGCATTATATGAACAAAAGTAGGAATTACAGTGCAAATGAAATTTGTATCTAGGAGCCTTACAAATAAACCTCCCTATCTTTATAGAAAAACTAAATTATTGGTGGCTAAAAAACTTGTCAAAAAGTCTAATAGTCTCTTTTTGAAATCATGTTGAAGACTTTAGAGAGAATAAATATCAACTTTACAGACTGTTATGGGTTAAATCACGTCCCCTAAAAGACATGCTGAAGCCCTAACCCCCAATGCCCCAAATGTGACTGTGCGTAGTCATTATAGATGTAATCAGCTAAGATGTAATCAAAATGCATCATATACATTAGACATGGAATAATTAAGATGTGTCTATACTGGGGCAGGATGTCCCCTTAACCTGACTGGTGTCCTTACAATGAAGACGATGTGAAGAGACAGGGAGGAAATACCATGTGATGATGGAGGCAGAGACTGAAGTTATACACCTGCCAGCCAAGGGACGCCAGGGATGTCAGAAGCTAAGAGGAAGCATGCAGCAGACTCTCTTCTAGAGCCTTCAAGAGAACATGTTCCTGCTGATATATTTCAGACTTCTATCCTCTAGAACTGTAAGAGAATAAATTTCTGTTGTTTTAAGCCACCCGATTTGAGGTAATTTGTTACAGCAACCTCAGGAAACCAACACAGGGACTGATACATCATATTACCTATGGAATCTGGTGTTTTTATTTTGATGTTTTTGAAAGCAAGGTGAAAAAATTGCTTCAAGACTTTAACAGTTTGATTCCTCAAAAAATACCAGTAGTGAACAGCAGAGGGCGCTGCTGATCAAAATTTACAGTTAAATGGAGACACAACCCAGACCACCTCAAAGCTCCATTTCAGGCAATGGACACTAAGTAGTGCCAGTCACAAATTTCCTCAAGTACAGAAAAACATGAAAATTTGCTTGGACAGTTAGGAAAGTTTAGAACTTAAATTCTCTGATTTTCATACACAAGCAATTTATAGACGCTGAATCCCTATACTTCAAGCACAAACAGCTGCCCTGGTCAGGCACCACCAGGACTTCTCTTTTCTCTTCCACTGCAGACGGCCCTGCTGCCTGGGCTTCCCCCACGCACTCCTTTCCAGGAACGTCCATCTGTCTCACTTTCCAAGTACTAACTAGGGGGTGGGGGTCTATGGTGTCAAGATAAGTAAGATGGAAACTGGGAAAAGAGGAGGTTGGGGTTGAGGATAAAGATGTATAGGATAAAGGCGGAGAAGGGAACAACCTTCCTGCCACTGACAGAGGATACCCAACCAAATGCCATCTCTTTTCAGCAAGGTGAGAGGAACTGGAAAGGATACAGGAAGCAAGTGGGGAAAGAAAAGAAATGGAAGAAAGAAAGGATGTAAAGAAGATAGGCAAAGAGAAAAAGAAGCAAGAAAGATAAGGCTAGCCTCTTCCTAAAGCTACTCCTGACTTCCCGCTTACCAACTTCAGAACTCCTTTTCAAACTTCCACCCTCCCTTAGGGTCTATCTTTCCAGATCATCCCTGCCCCATGAGTTGTGATCAGCATTTAGGAATTAGATGAGTCCTTACAAGTCCACCCCCACAGCTGCTGGGCAAGGAAGAGCACGGGTACAAAGGAATTCCCTGTATCAGTCTGCAGGTCTACAACAAGAAGGGATGTTAACTGTTATCCTTTGAAGAAATACTTAACTCATTTCTTCCCATTGAGAATTTTACTTATAACTGTTAGGTCCAGAGTACTATTAATCCTATAATTTAGGACTATTATGAGCTAAATAAACTTTAAAGAGCTAGTCTGAGAACAGAAGGCACTGTGTATAACATTGTTACAGGAAAATAAACTATAATTTCCAATAAGCATATTATAAATTTTTAGAATACAATCTGTTTTATAAAAGGGATGCCAATTTATTAATACTCTAATTTTCTGAAATCAATATAAATGTAAGTATGTACACCAAGTTTAGAAGACTGATGACAGACACACACAACTGTATACTGCATCTCCACAGGTTGCAATGAATTGATGAAGAAAAGGTTGACTGTGGCTCTATCAAGATGACCTTAAATAAATAAAGGATTAAGGAAATTAGATTGTTGTCCAAGGGTAGAAAAGAAAAAAAGGATTCTGAGAATGTCTTAACCAACCAGTTAGTGTGTAAAAAGGCAGGGACAGGTAGATTATAGCGGGAATGAGAGCAGAGA